GTGCGGGTGCTCAGATCCCTAAAAAATGCTCCAATTTTTTATATATACGAAAACAAAAATTATCCACATTAGTATATATATATATATAGAAATAAATTAATCATGTCATCGTATTATATTAATTAATTACCTGAAAGTGCTTCATGTACTTTTGCCGGTAGTAGCTCCGCAAACGCAAATGGAAGTAGTCGCTGCATAAAGACATGACAATCATGGCTCTTCATCCCGGAGAACTTTTTCCCTTTCTCAACACATCTTGAGAGATTTGAAACATACCCATCAGGGAACATCACTTCTGAAGCCACCCAGTTGAACAACGCAGACTTTTTTTCTGATGACAGTTTGAATATTGGAACTGGAACTTGCTCATTGCTTTTTATATGTAGCTCACTCCTTGAGCAGATATCGGGTAAGTCCAACCTTGATTTTATGTTTTCTTTCGTCTTCCCTGGGACATTCAATATAGTGTTCATGATGTTCTCAAAAAAGTTCTTCTCTATATGCATCACATCGAGGTTGTGGCGCAAAAGAAGATCTTTCCAATATGGAAATTCCCAAAATATACTCTTTTTGTGCCAATTGTTCTGAACACCATAAGAATCGGGCATATTATTGGGAACATGCCAATTCCCACCACGAGGAGCTGTTTCTAGAGCACAGTAGTAATCGATTTGCGCTTCGATTTGTTCTCCAGTTAAATATGGAGGAGGAGTGTCTCTGACAACCCTTTTGTGCCTGAACAATTTCTTGTTTCTTCGGTATGGGTGGTGAATGGGAATAAATCGACGGTGACAATCGAACCAACTAGTCTTCCTACCATGCTTCAACTGAAACACATCTGTCATTCCATTACAATACGGACAAGCTAATCTCCCATGTGTAGTCCACCCAGACAACATACCATATGCAAGAAAGTCACTTATGGTCCACAAAAGCATCGCTCGCATCGTAAAGCTTGTTTTCGTTGAACAATCATATGTCCTCACCCCTATTGACCACAAATATTTCAACTCTTTTATCAGTGGTTGTAAAAAAACGTCGAGAGATCTTTTTAGATGTTTTGGACCAGGTATTAATATGCTCATGAATAGAAACTCTCGTCGCATGCACATCTCCGGTGACAGGTTATACGGTGTAAGAAAGACCAGCCACAATGAATATTGTCTCCCATACATTCCAAATGGACTAAATCCATCAGTGCATAATCCAAGATACACATTTCGGCTATTGCTAGCGAAATGTGGATATACATTGTTAAAATGTTTACAGGCTCTTGCATCTGATGGATGAGTCATCTCTCCATCCGTCTGAGTATGCTCGGCGTGCCATCTCATCCCTCCAGCAGTCTCCTCAGATTGGTACAATCTTTTCAATCTGTCTGTGATTGGTAGGTACCACATCCTTTGGTACGGTACCCTATTACGCACTCGACCTTGCGGTTTGAATCGTGGCTTCTTACAAAAGCGACATTCTTCTAACTTCTCATAATCTCCCCAGTAAATCATGCAGTTGTCGATGCAAACGTCTATCATCTCCGAGGGCAACCCGAGACTATATACCAATTTCTGAATCTGATAATAAGATTCAGCAGACACATTGTCTCCTGGAAAATACTCTTTAAACAAGTCTGCCCATGCATCCATACAATTTTCAGGTAGATTGTGATCGGTTTTAATACTCATCATTCTAGCAGCCAATGACAATTTAGACAGACCTTCCTCTACAACCACTGTAAATTGGCTCATTCGCAGCATCTAACATTTCATAAAACTTTTTTGCATCTAAGTTAGGTTCTTCAACTTCATCATCATCATGAGTTACAAAGGCATCACCTACCATATCATGAACCCTATCACAATCTACCATTTGTTCCTCTTGGTGATGATAGCTATTACTACTGCTACCTTCATTACGCAAATGCTCAACCGGTTCAATCTGAAAATTGCTATTACTACNACCATTTGTTCCTCTTGGTGATGATAGCTATTACTACTGCTACCTTCATTACGCAAATGCTCAACCGGTTCAATCTGAAAATTGCTATTACTACTGCTACCTTCATTCCTACAACTAGCATCTTCTCCATGTTGATACCAAATATAATAATATGGCATGAAACCTCTATTTATTAAATGCTTCCAAACATTTTCACGAGAGCCTAATTTGGTATTGCAACATTTCCGACAAGGACATAACATCTTACCACTTTCCTGCGTGAGTGGTGTAGAATCTGCTTGATGCATAAATGTCTCCAACCCTTCGAGAAATTATTTCGTCACCCTCTTGTTATTATCTCTGTGTGAATACATCCACTTCCGCAACTCGAAAATATTTCCCGGACCGGACATTTTTTTTTGTGTTTGATCAAGCTTATAACTGATTTTTTTTTTTTTTTGGTGTGTTTCAAATGAATCACATATGCTGGTACTTATAGAAATTTTCGAATCTGAGAATTTACTAGGAAATTGCTAGGAAAAGTAGGTACAAAACACGTTTTTGATTTAAATTCGATATTTTCTATCCAGTTCCTCTTCATTTCGTAGTAATAAATCCTTTCCTCCTAATTTCGTAGTAAATTATTACTAGGACTTTACGAGGAAAGAAATTACTATGAGTTTACGAGGAAAAAGTTCTTTCCTCGTAAGGGCCACGTAAGGATACTACGAGTTTACGGGGAAACTGTTTTCTCGTAAGTATACGAGAACTTTACGAGGAAAAGTGGTTTCCTCGTAAAATCGAAGTAAACTCGTAGTATTTTATGAGGAATTATTTTCCTAGTAAAGTTTCCTAGTAAAGGCTTAGTTTTCTTGTAGTGATAATCAGATTTATCATTTAGATTTCATTTAATTAGTCCGGCAAAGCCTTTCTCAGCTCTCTTTAGGTTCGGTTTAGATTAAATTTTTCTATCCTAATTTTAAATTAAAATCCTCCCCACCCCACCCCTCCTAAACAAAAGTATAAGATCTTTGTTGGTATTCATGAAAATGATGAAGTTCGAGTAAGTAAGCGTTAGATTTAAGCCTCAAACTACGGTTATCAATCAGATTTATCATTTAGATTTCATTTAATTAGTCTGGCATAGCCTTTCTCAGCTCTCTTATGGTTTGGTTTAGATTAGATTGTTATATCCTTAGTTTTAACTTAAAATCCTCCCCCACCCCCACCCCCCAAACAAAAGTATATGATATTTATTGGTATTCATGAAAATGATGAAGCTCGAGTGACTAAGCATTAGATTTAATCCTCAAACTACGATTATCAATCAGATTTATCATTTAGATTTTATTTGATTAGTCATGAAAAGCCTTTTTCAGCTCTCTTTTAGTTCGGTTTAGATTATATTGTTCTATTCTTAATTTAACTTAAAATTCCACCCCNCCCCCAAACAAAAGTATAAGATCCTTGTTGGTATTCATGCAAATGATAAAGTTCGAGTGACTAAGCATTAGATTTAAGCCTCAAACTATGGTGATCAATCAGATTTATCATTTAGATTTCATTTAATTAGTCCGGCATAGCCTTTTTCAGCTCTCTTTTGGGTTGGTTTAGATTAGATTGTTATATTCTTAATTTTAACTTAAAATCCTCTCCCACCCCCTCCCTTTAACAATAGTATAAGATCCTTGTTCGTATTCATGAAAATGATGAAGTTTGAGTGACTAAGCATTAGATTTAAACCTCAAACTACGGTTATCAATCAGATTTATCATTTAGATTTGATTTGATTAGTCCGGCAGAGCCTTACTCATCTCTCTTTTGATTCAGTTTAGATTAAATTGTTCTATCTTTAATTTTAACTTAAAATCCTCTCTCACCTCCCAACCCCCCCCCCTCACAAAACAAAAAGTATCAACAAGAAGGGGCAATTTAGAGTGTGACTGGTTCCTCACTACCACCCACAAATGCAACTTTGATGGTTGATAACGGTTGTTGGCATTTGCAACAATCACCCAAACCGTTCTGAACCGCTTCAAACCATTCTAAACCTCTTAAATTCATAAGATGGTTCCAATTAGCGTTTGCTATTACGGACTATTGCGGGAAGGTGATTTTTTTTCTTTTTTAAACAATATAAATAAAATCTAATACTATAACTTTATAAGTATATTTATATTTATTATAATATTAAGATTTTTGGTATTTTTATAATTATACAAAATGTGATTATTGTTAATTTATATTTTAACTGCTACTGCATTTGGTAGTTAACGAGTCATAAATATCCGCAAACGTACCAATTTCTAACCGCAGTATCAGTTATACAAATCTCTTAAAACTACAAGAAACCGCAAGCACTCGTAAACTCCCGTAATCGCAACTGCTGCATTTGAAGCAGTCAGACCCTTAGTCGCTTTTGGGGGATGAAGACTTGGACAGACAAAAGGATATATACGGGGGACTTATGAAAGCTACATGTTAGAAGAGGAAAGGAGAGCTCCAAGGTTTACTTCTTTCTTCTTTTCTTTACCTTTCTTTGTAATTCCAACATTCTTCTTTTTTCCGTCTATATCTACAGTTCTAATTCTTTCTTCTTTGGATAACATCTTTTGAAAAGATTAATTATTCTTATTACTATATAAGAGCTCGTAGAACTATTTTTGTAATTGATAAAGTATATATATTGTAAATTAGAATCTCGCTTTTGATAGTAATAACCTTATAGTTTTGATTTTAGAAAGAACATAACTCTACAAATGTAAAAAGATCTTTGTCTTGTCACTAGTCTTTATATTTATAGAAACAAACAAAAAAGTGGTGGAGCCACGGAGTTTGAGTGAGTGAGTGCGTGCATATATAAATACTGAAAGGGGTAGAGAGGAAACAGAACACAACATAACGCAAAGGCAAAACAGAAGAACACTTAGGTGTCATAAGACAGAGAGATAAAAAAAAGATTGGTGGGTCTGAGGGAGAAGGAGATTGAAGACAAACTTCTATTTTCTAGCTTTCACTTTATAGAAAAAAAAAAAGAAGAAGAAAGGATGAGTTTGTGGGGAATGATGGGAGCAGGATGGGGAATGGTAGAAGAAGGTTGGAGAAAAGGGCCTTGGACTGCCGAAGAAGACCGTCTTTTGATCGATTATGTCCATCTTCACGGTGAAGGCCGATGGAACTCTGTGGCGAGGCTGGCAGGGTTGAAGAGAAATGGCAAAAGCTGTAGGTTAAGATGGGTTAATTACTTAAGACCTGACCTCAAGAGAGGACAAATCACTCCTCATGAAGAAACCATTATCCTTGAGTTACATGCTAAGTGGGGCAACAGGTAATTAATTTAACCTTTACTTTTTTATTTGCGTTTGCTTTATATTTGCATTTAAATGTTATAATTATGTGTGAAGCCTTACTCAGATAAGTAGCTTTTGTCTTTTTATTTTATTTTCTATGGTTGATTGTCTAATGATTTTCACAACCTTAGGTGGTCAACAATTGCTCGTAGTTTACCGGGAAGAACGGACAATGAGATCAAGAACTATTGGAGAACCCATTTCAAGAAGAAGACAAAATCTCCAACTAACAATGCGGAGAAGACGAAAAACAGAATCTTGAAGAGGCAACAATTTCAGCAGCTAAGACAGATGGAGATGCAGCAAGAACAACAATTGCTTCAGTTCAACCAAATCGACATGAAAAAGATTATGTCTTTACTAGACAATGACAATAATAACAACCGTGGTGATAATAACTTCAGTAGCAGTAGTAGCGGCAGCAGTGGAGAAGGTGGTGCCTTCTATGCTCCTCATCAGATCATACATTCAACAACAGGTTCTGGTTATGACCCAAATGGTAATGGGGTTTTCCCGGTTTCAATAGCTGAGGCTAATGTCAACGAAGATTACACAGTTTGGGATGATTTATGGAATCTTGATTTGGAAGGACAAGGAAGCTTTGATGGCGATGCTTGTGTTCCAAGGAAGCACTGTTTCCAGAACGTGTCTATTCCCTTCTGTTAGCTTGAGCTTTTTAAGTGTCTCACCGGCAGGAAAATGAAAAAAAACAAAACTTGACTGACAAGTTAGGTCGAGTTTGAGTTTGGTATGGTTTTATATTTTCTGATTTTTGGTTTAAGATAAGTAGTTCTATTACCAATTGTGTGTGGATCTTTTAAGAAGCTCATTTGCGCAACGCCAAATTAACGAGTGATGTAGTGGAAAGTCTGTGGACGAAATGTGTGTCAAATTGTCAACTGTAGCACAACATAACTCAATCGAATATATCAAATAAAATATTTCTGCAAAATTTTTTTTCTTCGAAAATATCTTCTAGATGAGACGAGCAGAGTAGATTTTTCCAACTTATATTTTGCTAGTGTAAAGAAGTCGTTTATGCGGACTTCAGATTTATTTTGATTGTGTGATATTAGAGCATGATTAACTCTAAGAGGCCATTTTAGTCTCTTAATATTTTTTAATAATTAACTAGATTCTGATCTGTACGGTTTCACGAAATTATTTATAATTTATTTAAATTATAATTAAATGCTTGATGATATTTTTAAACTTGTTTCGTGCTAGATTGTATTTATTGATTTTCGGTCTGATTTCGATTTTTTAAAAATATTTGTTTTCGGTTCATAAAATATATTAATAATTTTTTTGGTTTTTGCTTTCTTATTTTGGTTTTAGGTTTGAAAAATTTGTCATAATTATATAAAAATTTTCCTAGTTTAATTAGAATATCTTTCATTATCTTTATTTTTAAACTTAAAATACAAATGAATATTTTTTAAAAAATCTAACAAAACCCGTTGAAATTTCTTTTCAGAATCGTTTTAGAATTTATTTTGAAAATGTAATAATTAAAATACTAATTATCATAAAATATAATTAGAGGTTATAATAATAACTTAGTTTTCCTTACGGTGCTAACATTAAAATTATATATAATTTGAACTATATGAAATGATAATAAATTTGATTAAAGTTGTTGGTCATAAAAAAAAGAAGGATTTGAAATATTGAAAGTAAATTAAGAGAATTTCAAGAAAGATCTCATGTTTTAATTGTATTGATATATATATATATATACTAGATTTGAATAAGTCCAAAACTTAAATGTAATATTGATAAGTAGATAAAACATACGACTCTGTTTTAATAGATTAGATGATAGTTAAGAATTTGTACTTAAGAGACACCTATTTTTACCTCCAATGATAGGTTCTTAATTTGGGGTTCTTAAAAAAATTATTAAACTAAAATTTTGTAAAGATAAAATTTATTTACTAAACAGAACATATTAACAGAAAACATTTTAAACATTATTTTTTTAAAAGAACACTAAAAAAAATATTAGTAAAATAAACAAGAATAATTTGAAAAAAAACATCGGAGCTTAGTTGTTGTCCTGACCACATCCGAATTTACGCCATACATGTTCAACTAAATCAGCTTTCAGTTGTTGATGCATTTGTTTATCACGAATTCTAGTTCTAACATCATATAGCCAATATTTGTAGGGATATCCGTAGAAAACGTGAGATCCACATGTGAACTTCCGGTATCTTCTCCTTGTTTGGAACTCTGAAACATCATATTGAGTGTATCCATCTTGTTCGTCTTCTACTATCATGTTATGGAGTATGAAACATGCTCTCATAATCTTCCCAATTTTAACTTTATCCCAAAAAAGTGTTGGGTTTTTTAACAATGGCAAAGCACTTTCAAGACTCCAAAAGCACGCTCGACATCTTTTCAGATAGCTTCTTGATGTTGAGAAAATAAAACTGCTTTCGGCCCTTGTGGTATTGAAATTGATTGGATAAAAGTGGCCCATTTCGGATAAATACCGTCAGTGGGATAGTAAGCCATATGATACTCTCTTCCACTGACAGAGAAGATGACTTGCGGAACTTGACCTTTTATTATGTCATCAAAAACATGTGAGCGATTAAGAACATTGATATCATTTACGGTACCTGGAGGTCCAAAAAATGCATGCCATATCCATAGATCATAAAATGCAACCGCCTCTAAAATGATTTTGGGTTTTTTTTCAAACCACGTGAATATTGACCTTTACAAGCGGTGGAACAATTCTTCCACTCCCAATGCATACAATCGATGCTTCCTATCATCCCAGGAAATCCACGATGCTCACTAATATGAAGTAGACGTTGAAGATCAGTCGGTGTTGGTCTTCTTAGGTACCCATCGCCGAATAAATATATTATCCCATCCACAAATTTTTCCAAACATGAACGAGTTGTAGTTGAACCGAGTTGGAGGTATTCGTCGACCGTATCAGCCACAGTACCATATGCCAATCAACGAATAGCTGCTGTGTATTTTTCGAGGAGAAAGACTAAGCCTTCCGAGACAATCTTTCTTTTGTCTAACGAATTCAACTTCATTGGAGAGTCGATCAACAATATGCATGAACAATGGCTTATTCATCCTAAAATGTCGTCAAAATAGATTATCAGGATATGTTGGAGTTTCATTGAAATAATCATTCCATAAATGTAGATCTCCTTCTTCACGATTTCTTTTGATGTAAACTCATTTATTACTTTTTATTCTTTTCTTCTTCTTGATTACCATAATTGATGGTAAATTTCTCGAACGTTTGATCAAAATGTTGATAAAAATATTGATCAAATGATTCATCGAAATTTTCAGCATCTAATCCTTCAAAAGGATTTTTAGAAGAAGATGCCATATCGAAAGAATTTTTGTTTTTGTTTTTGTTAAATGTTTGGAAAAAGAATTGTTTAAAATAAGAATAGAGAAAGAGAGAAAAAGATTTATTTTGAAATGTTTGTGACTTCAAACTGAGAATAGAGAAGGAGAGAACAAGAGTTGTGTTTCTTGAATGAGAGAAGAAGATAAGAAGAGTTGTGTGTTGTAAAATGAGAATTAGTCTTTAATATATAAACAAGAGAGCCAAACATATAACAAGACTCTTTTGATCACAAGCAAGCAAGACTCTCGTGATCACAAGCAAGCAAGACTCTCGTGATCACAAGCAAACAAGAGTTTTATGACAATAATACAAGACTGTTATGACTACCATACAAATGTAGTCTCATGACTACACAAACATACAAGAGTCTCGTGACTACATAGCTTGTCCGTGACCTGTAAAGTCTCATGCCCGTGATTGACAACAATCAAAGTGCATCTTTCTCTTCCTTGTGTCTCAGCTTCTTCTATTCCTCTTCTTACCATCACCCTTAGAGGATTGTCTTTCTTCTAGCTTGATTCCCGAATTCAATACCTTGAACTTCTCCTCTCTCAGCGTCTTCTCTTCCTCATGCATCCTTTTCAGCATCCTTATGAACTCAGGTTCAATGTCATCTTCTGATTTCTCCACCCTAATCATGTAGCCCATATTGCTCATGTATTATTCGCTTGATAACTCCACCATATCCTCTTCTTTTTCATCTGATATCTCCACCACTTCTACTTCAGTTGGTGTGATATCCGCATCATCATCATCTCTATCTTCTTTTCGGGAGAGGTGGTATGATTCCTTTTGCTGAGAGGCCACAAACAATCGGTTTTCTTGCTTCCATTTCTGAATGTGTGTGACTTGTTCCCCTGAAAAGCACAAAAAAAAAACAGAAACGTATTAGAACATTAATTACAAAGACTGATAACATTGATCACAAAGACTACTTATATTATACATCATATTATATTTCAAAAAAAGTTAGATTACACAGAGGCCTAGCCATTGCTTCATCCTCCCCACTGATGCTGAGTATAGACGCTGATGATTGAAAAGATTGTTCTCCACCCCCCCATCTTTCTTTTTGAACCAGAGCTTTGTTGACTACTTACATAAGTCCCACACCATTTCTAATCATTCCTAAGCTCCTTCCAAGCATGCTCCAACGAGAACTTCAGCTTGTAATCGTTGAAGAATATTTCATGTGCAGCCTTCAATACATCATCTTCACTCTAGCCACTGGTTCCCTATTTTGTTGCAGCGTCATATGACTCCACAAACTTGCAGACACCTTCATTTATCTTCTCTCACCTATGCTTATAGTGGCTTTTCTCTCTCTTAGGCAAACCAACTACCTTGGGACTTGCGTTATAATAAGAGGCAATCTTCTTTCAAAAGGTTCATGCTCTGTGCTCATTCCCAACTAGTTGATCCTTGAAGGTGTTCAACCATGCACTGATAATGCCCAGGTCTTCAGATGTTGACCACTTGCTCCTTTGCTTACGGTTCTCACCACTTTGTGCACGTGAAGCAGATCCTCCAAGGTCTGGACTAGGGGAAAAACTCAGAAATTGAGTTAGGTTTTCATTGTTAAGTAGCTGACAGTTAAATAAGTGTAAAAAACTAGAAGAGTGTGATTCAGTAGAACACTCTTCACAACCTGAAAAGAGGCACAACAAAGCATCATTTTCTACATACATGAATGTCCTAAACACTAACTAATAACCTGATTCAACTTATATGAATTCAAATACACCAAAAGCTTATGTTCTTCAACTCAACACACATGCATGTTCTACAAACGATGAAAATATCACAATGTATCTTATGTTTTTGAATTCTGAGATACACCAAATAGAACAGCTCCTATCTCTATTTCTTTCAGGCCGATTTGGCTCATGACCTGAAGACAAATAGATCATCAAATCAGTTCTTATTAGAATTTTAATCTAGGGGTTTAATGTCAATGTAGGAAGACGATAGAGGAAGAACATCAGATGATAGAGGAAGAAAATACCTTCGACGATGTGGTCTGATTGGAGCTTTGCTTTGCCGGCTGCGCAAACACAACCATAGAAGCAAAGAAGAAGAAGATAGATATCTCTGTCGATACTGATTTTGGCTCGATTTCGTCAGAGAAGGAGAGATTTTTCATGGGAAAAAGAGAGAGAGAAACGAAGAGATAGAATAAGAGTTGCCTCTAGGGTTCCCTAGGATTTCCAGAAATCAAACTCATTCCACGTTTTTGCAAAAAAAAAATTGCCATTTGGACATAAGAACACAGCTAAGATCCACGGTTAATCGTAGTCTAGTAACTAGCCGCGTTTAGGTACAAGTCGATATTGTTTTTGACCAACCAAAGTAGGCTAATAGTGGAAGAGACATTGACATGTCACCACATTTAATCAAGAAGTCACTATGATGACGTTTAGGTAACCAGTAGCCTAAATGGGCTTTTATTATTCATGGCTATTAATATCTGAAGGACCACAAATACAAAGCGAATATTTGTGTCCTCGTTTTATACACAGAAGACTAATTTTAACAATACTCCTTTTTAAATCATTATAATTAATACATCCAAACTTTCGTAAATAGTCCAAATCTTGTTTCAAAATCTATAGCATAAATATAGTAGTTGCAAACTAATGTATTTTTTTCGAGTTGTTTGTGTGTATAAAGTAAATAAAATTTAAAAAATTTATGTTTGTATTAATCTAATTAAATTAAAAAAAAAACAGATTATGACTAATATATTCAGTGTTAGGGTGTTCTAGAGCATTTTCGAGATAAAACTTTTTCTTCAAAATAGAGCTATGATTAGAAGATAGATGATAATAAACAAAAACTAAATATATTATTCTATTTTGGAATGAACTCATTTTTACTTTATGGTTTTGATCAATAAACAAAGAGTCTCCATAAAATTCTCTTGGATATGGAAGCCCCATCATCCTTTCTCCAATTTCTATTTCTTTTCCTTTATTCCAAGAGAGCAAAATAGACCTACAGACTCCTTAGCAAAAGTTTCTCTATGTAACATGCATTCTTCTTGGATTTGAGCCTAATGTTTTCAATTTATGAAATTTGGTAGTTCAAAAAAAAAAACAAGAGTGAAAATATAGTATCATTAAATTTACTTCAAACTCTATTTTGAAATGAAAAATGGAATGTGGTTGAAAATAATCTCAAATAGATTATCAACACCTTATTTAATTTCAGTGATGGTTATAATCATATAGTTTTATAATTTGTAAGACATAAGTGCATGGAGACATCATGGCTATAAGTGGTGACTAAAGGAAGAGGAACAATGCATTCCTTAACATCTCTGAAAAAAATTACCTTTCATAAGAAATAGTTTTTTTATTTCTATTTATCTCCATTCCTCTTATTGTAGAGATGTATTGAACAAATTTGTTCCTTATAAATTTGATAGAGAATAACTATTGCTCTTCATTCCTAATATTTTATTTCCATCTATTCCTTTCCTATTCATTCATGATGTTTCCGTTTCCGTGATAGTTACCAGTTAGAGCCCATATGTTTTCTCAAAAAAGGATTTAATTTCAGTTAACATTTAATAAACTGATTAATACACATCCTTTTTAAATATGGTACATTACAAACTATGGAGAACGAACATAAAACTTTTTGTAACTAATACACAAACTAAAATTTGACATTGTGCACCTCAAATTTCTATAAAAAAAATTGGGGGCTTGAGGCATTTGCCTCTTTTTCAAGGTAAACACAGCTAGCTTGGAATTTATTATCTTGGATCTGGATTCGATTCAAGATCCGTTCCGTATCCATTCCAAAATAGGATATCCAGGGTGTGTATACATATCCGAATAGTAAAATCTCAGTCCAAACTGGAATCGAATCCGGATATCATACTTTTTAAGTTTAGATATCCAGATTCGTGTTTCTAAAATATATTAAATTTTAAAATTTTATTAATAATTATATTTGATATATTAATATGTAAATAAAGGTTTATAATAGTATATTTTAATTTTAATAATATTATATGTCATATATATTCATAAATTTTACATAAATATTTAATTTATGTATTATTTTAGCTTTTTCCATTTTAAAAATATTTTTAGTTATTTTTAATTATTTTTACGGTCGAATCCGGATATCCGCTGATATTACAAACAATGGATAATTGAATATTCAAATCCGGATATCCAGATGGTACAAATCCGAATCCGGATACTAAAATCACAAATCCGACAAATCCAAATCCGAATCAAAATATTCATAATTTTCCGAACATTTGGAACCGTCTCATCCCTAATCACGGCCCTGATTCTAGTGATATCTAAAAACAAAAGAATAGTTTCTCCAATTTTCTTTTGATAAAATGTTATCACTTACATTAAAACTACAGATGTCCACATTTAATATTCTGCTTGAGTAGTTTCTCCAAGTAGATTCAGTTCTTCCAAGTAAATTCAATTCTGGATCACAGTAGATAATTAATGTGATCACAATGTTCAATGCGATTTGAGAAGCTACTTCCTCGCATATCCAAGATTGTGAGGTTGATTGTTTGTGGCTTTTGTTTTGGTTTTTGTTTTTCTAAAAACTATTTTCTTCCAATCAAATTTTTGCTTTTGGTTTTTGCTTTTGTAAAAATTATTTTTTGAGCCAATCAAGTTTTAAACAAATAGATTCCCTAAAATCTAGGGAAACTAGTTTTTCAAAATATTAATCAATTTGTGAAGAAAAATCAAAAACCAATTTTTATGGGTTTTTAATACAAAAACGAATTTCATTATTTTTGTAAAAAAACTATATTTTAGTTAAATAAATAATATTTTCATAAAGATAAGTTATCCATACAATTATTTATATATAATATATCATTCAAACCTTAATTTAAAATAATTTATTTGTGTTTCATATATGTTAGTAAATTGGATATTTTTATATAGCATTAATTAATTGTAAACAGTTAGTTATTAATTTCTAAAAAAAATAAGTTATTACTTTCTATAAAAATTCATTGAATAATGGTAATAATTATTAGACACATAAAATGATTAAAATTTGTAAAAACTTAACTATATTTTTAATAATAATATATAATATTAATTTGAAAATAGCCCTTCAGCTTGTAAAATATAAAACAAATCATATAAGGAAGTTTATAAATAGTTTAAAATATTAAATTTTTAATTCATGGAAAATTTATTGTTTATAGTTTAGTTTAATATTTAAAAAATAATAATTAAAAAACATGTTAATGTAATTTATTTTAAATAACAATCACTCTATTTTGATAAATTTTGGTGATAACATATAAATATTTCATTATTTTTTATTATTATTTTAAAACAAGGTATTGATTATTTTTTGAAAAACTAAAAAATACAGAAAAACGAAAAACCAAATCTAAAAGTCAAAAACCAAAACCAGAAGTTGAAAACCGAAAACAAAAACCTAAAATCTAAAAACCAAAAACCAAAATCTAAAACCAAATCTAAAAACCAAAAACTTAATCCAAAAACTAATGCAAACAATCATCACCTGTATTTTTTTTGTCAAAATGTACGACCATATATATATATATATATATATATATATATATATATATATATATATATATATATATATATATATATATATATATATATATATATATATCTTTCTTATTAATAGAGAAAAATTTGAATAGATAACCCTTAATGTGTAAAGTATTCACAAAAAGGCTTTTCATATCCTCTATTTAAATACCCTTTTCTTACTAGAATATTTATATAATATACCATTGGGTATTATAATATAAGGTCAAATTATAATCTTATAACTTTTATAAATACGTGATAAATGAGTCACATAAATTAAATTATTGTGATTGTAATTCAACATTGGTGGAGAAGGAATGTTTTTCTCTTTAATGATAGTACAAATCTCGGAAAGTTAGGTTTTTAGCCAGCTTAGGTCGCCGATATTGCCAGGTATCTCACAAGAGGTTTGGCGACAAGTTTAAAGCTTTAAGGTTCCAGAGTAGAGTAATCAAAGTGGGTATGGATTTTTTAACAGATTATCTGATAAATCGATGAATGTGAGATTTGGGTGGAACGAGAGGGAGACAAGAGATGGGGAGAGAGCTTTGAGTGATGTGGAGGATATGGAGAGATCGATGGAGCAGTTTGTGAAAGAGATGGAGGTGACGAGGCGGATCGGGGAGCCGGAGTCGCAGGTTACAAAGGTGGTGGGGGAGGGGGGGGGGGTTGGAGGAGGGATGGTGGTTGCAGGGTTTTTTTATGGTGAGGATGTTGAGTGATTCGAGGGCTTTGAGCTGTTTTGGGACAAGGTGACCTTTCCGTGACTTATTTCAAGGCCGAGTATGAAAAAGGTTCAAAGCTGATCATTGGAGGTAATCACGGGAAGAAGTTGTTGCTTGGAACATAGTGTAAACTCAAGAAGTTTGAGCTTGATAAGTTATTGCAGTGGTAGAGCTTTGGTTCGTGTATGTGTGTTATGCATGGAGAATGATATGTGACACACGATTCAGAGAATAAAAAGGAAACCTCTAGACGCGATGAAGTGAAATATTTCCATATGTTTGGTTGACGAAATTAGAAGATTTGTGATGCTAAGATTTAGGAAATAAACCACGTGAGATAACATACGGTGTTGAGATTTAGGACATCATGCCCTTTGAGTATAAAGAGAATAAGACTGTGACATGAAGCGGTTACGCGTCTAGAATTTATTGAAGATTCTCATGGATGTGTGTGACGTTGTCCTACTAGACATTTGAAAGATCTGTTGGTAGTTTTGTTATAGAGAACTATACTTGTCAAGAGAAGACAATGAGCAGTAGTTGCTCTCATCATTGTAATTCTATATTAGAGTGGTAGGCATCGATGTGTGCTGGATACCATATAGCAAAGTTTTTTCGGCATTTTCTTGTGAATTGGTTCTAGACGTGGTCCCGGGGATGTAGTAAAAGAACCTCGTTAAAAAATCTCTGTATCTCCTTACTTTATGCTCATACATACTACCACATGAACACAATTGCACCCAAATAGATATAGTATCCATGAATTTGTTCTTACAATTGGTATTATAGCGGGTGTCCGCTAGAGTTCATATCAGATTGGATCTTATTTTGGGTAGATTCTGGATATAGTATTTGTGGCTAGGTGAAAATTTGAAGAGTATGAGAATAGTCATGTTCATGATTGCATTGAGACAATCAACGTGAAAATATCGAGAGGAGTGT